GGATCGCAACAAATTGGGGCTTTTTAGATTACGTTTGCTGATAGTAACGCCACGTGATTCAGCTAATAACACAAGGATTTCATCATTTGTGAAGAAAATAATCAGCAATTTGTGCGTTCATGACTGGCTGTAATACTGGTAGCTTAGCTGTAGCATTTGTAGCTGAGGGATTCAGCTTCCAGGTAACAAGGAAATGACTTCATTCATGTAGATTACTGATTGGCAGCGCTAACTCAAAATGTTGAGTTAATAAGTCGAAATTTCAAGAAAATAACTCAAAATTTCAAGTTATGGATACTTTTTTTTGTGGCAGAAACAGGCTTCCATAATTTTTAATGCAGTGCTGTCTGAGCTGTTTTTCAGCCTTGTCCCTTGCACACAGAGATTTATCAGAATTGTTTGATCTACTATGTATAACAGATGATGAGGAATATTACTGAAATTGTTCCAAAAATGCAGTTTTTTTGCAGATTGCTGAAAGTCTTCCTCTCTAAGATGCTCTTTTTAAATTAAGTTTTAGATTTGTTCTGTTGTGAATCCCATCATTTTTGGAACTGGGCCTGTATTAACCTACTGCCAATGTATAAAATTCACTGGTTTAACATTAATATTAAATGCTATTGCCCTTCTCACGCTACACTTACTGAGATTTTGGGATTTAAATTTCCATTTACAGGCATCTTGGCATTAAAGGAACAAGAAAGACAGAAAGGCAGAATTAACCTCGTGAAACCATTAAAGTCGTCAACCCATTAATTTAACGTAAGGCTGGTAAAACGTCTGGTGTATTGTGGGATAATTGCACTTACTATAGCTTGGAGGCTTCATCCGAACACTCTGAAACTTATCTGGTTTCCTTGGGTCATAATTTTGACTTTGAAGGCACCAACTTTGGTTTAGTGAAAGTTGTTATGTAGGCTTTGGCTTTGTCCTCGCGGCAAATTGAGTTTTTTCTTCAAATGAAAAGGGAAAGAGATTAGAAGAGGAATTAAATTGAAAAAGGAAAAGAAAAAATTAAGGTAGCTTGGAGGTATAAAAAAAGAGAGAGAGAAAGAAAAATGTCACGATAGGACACTGAAAAATTGTGAAAAGGATTTTTCTTTTGCATTTCTCTCACGGTTCACTTTGTTTTGCACTAATACTGTTATTGTTCTTATTTATTTTCCCTGACAAGTGCTTTCCTTAGAAATTGTTCCAAGCAATGGAGAATTACTGAACATAACGGTCTTAAGTTCAAAACTGCAAATGCTCATATATTTCATATATTATTTGAATATTTTTTCTTGTTTTTCCAAAGTGTAATACACAGCCTGACTGAAACACTCCTGCTGTCCCCTCAGATCCTGGCAGCACTGCCATATGACTGGTCTGGGGGTCGTCTGCTCTTCTTCTCTTGCCTGAGGGTGGTCTTCATCCCTCTGTTTGTCATGTGTGTGTATCCTGCCAATGAACCCACTCTATCCCACCCTGCCTGGCCCTGTCTCTTTTCTCTCCTCATGGGAGTCACCAACGGATATTTTGGGTCCGTACCGATGATCCAGGCTGCGGGCAAAGTGCCACCTGAACAGCGGGAGCTTGCAGGTGATTTTTGACTTCTTTTGTCTGATTTATTGTTAAATAAAAAGCATCAATAATTGAACTGAAGCCAGTTGATTAGACCCATTTAGCTTAAATTTAGCCATATAAGTTGTTGTATGTCACAAGAATACCATTAAATGGTTGAAAATGAGATCATTATATTCTTCTTAGCAGAATAACACTGACCTTAGCACTGTAACTGTAACTTAATTATTTTATCAACTTAATAAAGGTGCCTTGCTTTAGAATGAATGACTGCTTTTTGGCCTGACAGCTAGCTTAGCTTAGCTAGTAGCAACCAGGCAAATATAGCCTATATTAGATGTAATTTTATGTTAGCTTAAGCCTTCAGAGAAGGATTACATATAAGATATCAAACAAACTCAACACTGTTATGTGCGCTGTAATATTAAACATTATTACCTGTGAGATGCTTTTTAAATGTTATCTTTAACACTCAAAAGTAATGCATATTTCAAGTGTTTTTTTAGCTAGCAGTCTCACATTGTTTTCAGGCTGGGATTTTGTGAAGAAATACTAAAGTTACATTTAGATTATAATTATAGGTTTTATTATAATTTTCCTCTGAGTGACCTGTGCTTGGTGTCTTGCGCTCCTATTAATGTTAGCATGCTAAATTAGCATGCTAAATTAGGATGGTTATAATGGCACATGCTATCCCTGCTGATGCTAACATGCAAGAACATCAAAGAGTGGATAGCAAAGATGTACTTTCTTAGACTTGTTACTCACTGTCTAACATGTTTCTTGCTTACTTGTTCACGCCAAGCAGTATTCTTTATTTAAAAATAGCATTCCCCCCGGATTAGGCAGTATGATCAGCTCTACAGTTACTCTCTGCTCTCTCTCGCCAGGGAATACTATGACTGTCTCCTACATGACAGGCCTGATGGTTGGCTCCGCTGTAGCGTATGCAGCTTATAGCTTCACTGCTCCACCAACAGGAATACGCTCCTCTACGCTCAACATACACACACCTGCCAACACTACCGTGTATTGAATGTCCGTAGGTTTGACACGCACTCACTCATCTGTCTGTATACATTTACATGTACACACATGCTGCGTTAGGACAGGACATTTGCCCTTTCAGCAGCATCAACTGATGTACTAGACTCCAGCTGCAGAATAACTCAACAATAAGAAAAGAAAAGACAAGTAGTGGCTTTTAGTGTTGAAAGGAATTAAGTGAAAAAAGTGCAGATTTCTCCACTCGCTCATCTCCCGGTGATCCACTGACCTTCAAGCATCTGCTCCGATGAACTTCCCCGGAGGAAGAGAAGTGGAGCTGTGCGTCTGCCAGCAGGCAGACATTAACCCTCAGAGTATCACACAGTGAAATTACTGTCTGCATATGTGCGAACACATCATCTGACATTTGTACAGTGCAAAGTCAAGTGATATTTTGTTGCGGGGAGCTAATGGCTTGTGGTTTTAGAGGAGACCTTGCATTATATGTGATGTTATGTTTTATGAATTCTCAGAGCTGTCGCCCATCATAGCAAGATGGTGTTCAGACTCACGTAAAAATATGATCAGCGTTTTTAGACGATGAGTTCCGTAAATGCTCATTTTATTCGGGCCCTGTTATTAAAACCAGTTTAACCTTATGAGATCTCAGCCCTTATTGAGGACGACCCTAACCCTGTGCTATCAGAATAAGTCATTTTTCAAACAAATAATCATTATAACTGAAAAACACTTACGTCTTGGGTTAGGGCTTGGGGCTATGAGCTGTTACCAATAACGACTCAGACCTCACAAGGGTTAAACAAACTGTCTTTTCTGCCTAAGACCCAAAGACATTTTTTTGACCCTGAGAGCACTGTGTTAGATATCTAATGCTGCAACCAGACTGGAGGAAATAATGGTGGAGGCAATTATTGCAACTGTGTGCAATTAAATTTTAATGTCATTGCCTTTGAAATGGTTGCTTTGACAACATAATCGGATCTGCAACAACTTGCAGTCAGTCGTTGTCTTCAAAGCGAATTTGTTGCATCGAGATGACGGTAAAGGAACAAAAAGACTAAATGGAGTCAAGTTGGCAGTCTGTTTTTGATAACAACAAACACTGAAATTCACAACAACTACTTCAAATTCGGGACGTAGTTGCTGCAGGATTGCTCAACAACCTTGCGTTCTAACAGGAGAATAACTAGTTTGCAACCAGTTGATTCAAACCCCTTACTACAACGAGACACTCTGCAGACAAGTTGTACTTTTCGATGCAGACTCCATTTATAAAGTAAACTAAACAATGATTATCAGCAAAAATTCACCAATCAGTCCGATTGCTTCGTCCCTTGGAGCGGGCAACACCCTCAACCTCGGGGTGACCGCTTGGTTTCACGTGAGCGGACCACGCTCCTCTCTAAACTCACCTTCTTTCTTTTTTTTTTTTTCAATCTCTAAACATTTGTAACATTTTGTGACTGCATCTTGCATGTTTGTGAAACTGTGTTGAAAGAATCTGTCCACAAAGTAATCGAACCTGTCGGTGTGGTATTTCCTACTACAGCAGAGGGTCTTCAGGACCACGCAATTGTCATCATGACACACAAACAATACCAGCTGTAGGGTAAAAAAAAAGAAAGAAAGAAATCATGTAAAAGGAGAGATTTCAGGTCACTTCTTGCGCCCCCTGATGGCTGAAAAAAGTATTTATTTACCAGAGGAGGTATCGGAGGTACTGCGCTCCTATCGCGCTAGTCTTTGTTGGTTTATCTGAAATGCTTTGCACCTCCTTTGAATGGTGTCTGTATTAAATGTCTATGTGATGATGTGGGATATAAGGGGACAAAATAATTAGTGCCAAACAGTCTGTGTTTATGACAGATGCGATTGGGGGAGGGAGAAAAAAGTGAATGTAAAGTTGTAAATACGTAGAATAAAATGCATTCAAGGCAATGAAAGGCATTTATTTTCACTACTGCAAAGCCTGTAGAAAGAATCAGATTCATATCTTTTGTAGCTTTATTTAGTTGAAGTGACCCCTGGATCCCCTCCTTTATTTATCTCTTTCTTTTTTCCAGCTGACGCGCAGCAGCGTCTCCGTTCCCTCATGTTTCCTGTTGGACTTGATTAATTTTTCAGCGATAAGAGAAGCAGCCGAGTTCACAGTTTATATATTATATTTTAAAAAAAGAAATAAATAACAGACCTCAGTGTAAAGAGCCGCAAATGTGCACTGCATTATGTAAGCGATGGCTTGGATGGAGAATGTTGGCACTGTTTGAAACGGTGGGATGCCATTTGGGAGCTAACCTCATTACTGTATGTATGTCCTGCTTCCTGCGGCCTCTCAGCGAGCTGCTGGGTTTGAAGGTGTTTTTAGTTATTTTTGGTCAATTGTGTCATTAAAGGACATGAAAAGTCTCTCTCCTTCTCTTTCTTTCTCTCCTGCAGACATTTTGAGAGAGGGGGGAAATCCAACTTTCCCAGGAATGCTTTTTTAAC